TCCTTGCTATTGTGAACAAAACTGCAATAAACATGGGTGTACATATATCTGCTTGGATGTCAGCTATGGTCTCTTCAACTCCCCAAAGTTCTTTACCAGACTTGGGCAAAGGCTTTTAGCTCAGGTTCGGTGGGAGTCCAAAGGTCATCTCCGCCTCATGGTGGCGCTGCTGCTGCTCCTGCTATATAAGTCCAGCTGCCCGCGGCTGCTGGTGCAAGAATCTCTAACAATCCCCCTCTCCCCGGCCCCCGCAAGGGCATGCACTGCATGCTTGTTTCTTTTTTCTGATGATTAAATGCTCATATTCTGTTGCTGGATCGGCTCAGTTTAATGGCTGATTCACATATTCCTGTCCATCCACATGGCAAAGTCAGAAAATAATTTGGGAAGCAGTTTGAACAATAAATGTTTAACATCATACATTAGATTGTTGATGAGGCTTCCCCTGATCATGAAGTCACATTCTTTTTTTAGAGTCCACCTTCTCAAATAATATGTTCAGCATACAGATTGAATAGGTATGGAGAAAGGATACAACCCTAAAGCACACCTCTCGATTTTTAAACCATGGGCTGATTTGGCAGCATTATGGTAGACTGTGAAGAGAATAAGATTGTTAGCAGCTTTAGTTTGCTTGACTCCACATCAACACTCTTGGTATCAGCAGCTAGGAAATGAAAAGACGAATCGCATTGGGAAAACCTGCTGTCAGAGACCTCTCCAAAGTATTGCAGAGCAACAATGTCAGTCTGGAAACTAAGGTGCAACTGATCCAGGCCAAGGTCTTTGCAATTACTTGCTATGTATCAGAAAGCTGGACATGACTAGGGATTATAGAAGAAGAATTGATGCCTTTGAGCTGTGGTGCTGGAGAAGAGTATTGGATATACCATAGACTGCTAGAAGAACAAACAGGTTCATCTTAGAGAGGGTGAAATCAGGCTGCTCCTTGGAGGCAAGGCTTCTGAAGCTTTGTCTGACGTACTTGGGGCATGTTGCAAGGTGGGACCAGTCCTTGGAGAGGGACATGATGTTTGGGAGGGTGGAGGGGCAGCGCAAGAGAGGAAGACTCTTGATGAGATGGATTGATTTAGTGACTGTGGTAATGGGGGTGGGTGTGTCAGAGACAATAAAATTGGCACAGGATAGTGCAGGGTTTATAGTGCAGAGTTTAGGGTTGTTGTACATAGGGTCACTATGAGTCACAGGTGACTCAATGACACATAACAACACAACAACAACAAAGCATTCCCTTGCTCAGTTAGGACAACAGCCTCTTGATCTAGGTATAGGTTTCATGTGAATACAATTAAGTGTTGTATAATTCCCACTTCTCATTGTTAGCCATAATTTTTTATGATCCACACAATCAAATGCCTTCTTATATTCAATAAAGCACAAATAAACATTTTTCTAGTATTTTTTGCTTGCAGACAAGATCCATCTGACATCAGCAATGATATCCTAGATGCCATGACCTCTTCTAAATCAAGCTTGAACTTCCGGCAGTTATCAGTCTATGTACTATTCTAGCTATTTTAAAAATAATCTTTAACAGTATTTTGCTTCCATGTGATATTAATGATATTGTTTGGTAATGTCCACATTTTGTTGGATCATCTTTCTTGGGGATGGGAGTAAATATGTATCTCTTCCAGTTAGTTGACTAGGTAATTGTCCCTCAAATTTCCTGGCATAGAATTTTGAGTATGCTCAGGGCCTGTATCTGTTGGTTGAAACATGTCAACTGGCATATAATCAATTTCTGGGGCCTTATTTTTTGGCAGCAAAATGTTTTAAGTACTCTTTATTTTCAACAAGAAAATGTATGCCATCTGTATAATGCAGATTTTTTTTATGAGTCTTCCTCCAATCCTGGTGCCACATTTTCCTCATAGAGTCCACTTTCTCAAATTATTTGTTCAGCATACAGATTGAATAGGTATGGAAAAAGGAAACAACCATGACCCAAACATTTCTTGACTTTAAACCATGCAGTATTCTCTTGTTCTATTCAGACAACAGCTTTATGGTCTGTGTATAGGTTTCTCATGAGTACAGTTAAGTGTTTTGGGATTCCCATTCTTTTCAATGTTAGCCATAGTTTGTCATGATCCATATAGTCAAATGCCT